TGCCACTTCCAATTATGAATGTCGATCTATTGAGTCATACCTCCTGGTTTCTGATGTTCTACCTTGACTTCCTGACAAATGGGGCACTTACTCACAAAATCTGCTATATCCCTCTTCATTCCATTCCACTAATAGAATTTCCATAGATCGTGGTACATCTTAGTGGCACCTGCATGAATAGAATACCTGGAGTTATGGGCTTCTGAAAGAATTTGTTGTCTCAACTCGCCCATATTAGGAACACACAACCTACCCTGGTAACGAAGTACACCATCCCCCCTTGGGAGAAAACCTCCACTCTCTGATTGTGGACTGCACCTTTAAGTTCAAGCAAGATTGGATCACTGTCTTACTTTTCCTTAACCTTCACTACAAAAAAAAATTCTACCCCATTCTGAACTGTTACACCATTGTCTGATATGCTCATAATGCGAACTCCCAAGTTAGCAAGCTTGTGAACTTACTTCACTAGCTCCTTTATTTCTTCCTCAATATGGGAGACACTACCCATAGATAATATATTAAGAGCATCTGCTACTACATTAGCCTTACATTGATGGTAATGCACACTTATATCATAATCCTTATGAAACCCAAGCCATCTCGTCTGGCAAAGATTAAACTCTTTCTGGGTGAACACATACTGGAGGCTCTTATGGTCATTGAACACATGTACATGAACACCATACAAGTAGTGTCTCCATATCTAAAGTGCAAGCACCAGTGCTGCAAGCTCAAGGTCACGAATTAGATAGTTCTTCTTATACACCTTAAGTTGTCTAGGATCATAATATATAACCTTATCTCGCTGCATAAACACACAACCTAGGTCAACACAAGATGTATCACAATAGATAACATAACCATCAGAACCCTCTAATATAGCCAACACAGGAGTTGTAGCCAATCTAGTTTTCAATTCTGCGAAAGTTTTCTCATAACTGGAACTTGACCATCTTTTGAGTCAACCTATTGAATGGTGAGGCTATGGATGAGAATCCCGTCATGAACCTTCTATAATAACCATCTATACCTAAGAAACTTCTCATATGTGCAGCAGAGGTAGGTTTGGGCCATTGTTTCACTGCTTCTATATCCCGTAAATCCACTCGGATCCCTTCGCTAGATACATTGTGACTAATGAAAGCAACATATTGCAACCATAACTCACATTTGTTGAAGTTAGCGAATAATTTGTGATCCTTGAGAGTCTGTAAGACAATTCTCAAATGACTCTCATGTTCTTCCTCATTCCTAGAGTAAATGAGGATATCATCAATAAAGATGATAACGAATAAGTACAAGTACTGTTGGAACACTTTTTTCATCAACTCCATGAAAGGTGCAGGAGCATTGGTTAGTCCAAAAAACATAACAACAAACTCATAATAACTATGCCGAGTTCATAAGGTTGTTTTCAGAATGCCACTATCTATGACTCTAAGCTGATGATAATCCGATCAGAGGTCTATCATCGAGAAGTTAATATCACCCTGAAGTTAGTCATATAAGTCATCAATCTTGGTATGGGATACTTATTCTTGATTGTGACCTTGTTCAACAATCTATAGTCAATGCACATTTTAAGAGAACCATCTTTCTCCCTTGCGAAAAACACTGGTGCACCCCGTGGAGAAATACTAGGTCTGATGAAGCCCTTATATAGAAGGTCTTTCAACTGCTCTTTCAATTCCTTAAGCTCTTCTAGAGCCATTCTGTAAGGAGGAATAGAAATAGGATGGGTATTTGGAGGGGGATAAATTCCAAAGTCGATTTCCCTTGGAGGGACTCCGAGAAGATCTTCTGGAAATACTTTTGGAAACCCCCAGACTACTGGAACTGACTCAAGAGTTGGGGTTTTAGATCTAGAGTCCTTAATCTGAACTAGATGATAGAGATAACCCTTAGAGATCATCTTTCTGGCCTTAAGGTATGAAATGAATCGACCCATATGCGCTAAGCAACTACCCTTCAATTCTAGGATTGGTTTGTTTGGAAACTGGAAACGAACAATACTAGTTATACAATCGACTGAGGAATAACAGGAATGTAACTGATCCATTCCTAGAATGACATCGAAGTCTACCATTTCTAACTCTACAATATCTGCTGAGGTGACTTTCTGAGATACTGTGACAGGGCAATTTCTATATACCCGTCTAGCTATAACTGGGTCACGGACTGGAGTAGAGACTAAGAAAGGTTCTGAGAGAGTTTCTGGACTAACACTGAATTGAAATGCTATACTGAGTTATAAAAGACAAAGTCATCTCTGTTGTCTTTCCACTTGGTGAACCATATCTGAGTCACATCCTTAAGCTAGTAGGATGCCTGTTTCACCTATCACTACCAGTTACTTGCATCACACCAAATATTTTCTTGACCTCATCAATGAACTTATGTGGGTCCTCACACAACTTGAGACCCTGAAACTCAGGTGAATATTTCTAAAGAAATGTAAAATACTAGTTGTCACTGATCCACCATTGTTATTAGTTGGAACTCAAACCTTCTTATTGTTTGATGTTGTCATACTCTGAGTCAATATCTATATGGAATTCCTGAACTCAGCATAAGAGACTTCTTGATCTAGGACTAGAGGAGCTGCGTTTACATTCCTGGCATTCGCATTCCTAGCAATATCTTTACAAAGAGGGATGATATGAAACGTAGATCATAAAGTTAGAATGGAAAAAGATCATATATCATGCACGATAAGAGTAACAAGAAAGTGAACTTTTTTCCTAAAACACTTCATAGCCTATCTCTCATTAGATGGGGTGCACTTCACACCCATGAAAAGGACTCTACTTAGTGCGGCTTTTCCACATTCGAAGACACTTATAACCTAATGCTATGGTACCACGTTTTTTCACGCCTTGAGATACCCACGAGACGCGGACACGGGATCTAGGACCACAAGTGATCCCAAGTTAACCATACTGGCATGATCATGAGCATACTTAAGCTAATAAACTGTTGCGAAAGCTAAATCGTACTTAAAATGAAAAGATGGGGGAATACCCATATGCTAAATCTGAGATATATGAAAACTGATGAGTTTAATTCAAGGAAAATATCAACTCATTACTAAGCTGAAACTATGTTGGAAAATAACCTCTAAACTGGACTAGAAATACTTGGACAAGCCCCAGCTAAATCTAGCAAAAACTGAAACTAAAAGACTAACTACTGTAAAAAAAAACTCATGACTCGGAGAATGAGGAGTCACCACAAAATCTGCTAAACTGAAGATCTGAAATCGATCTATCCGTGATCTGGGTGCTGAGAACCTGAACCTACATCACGAGAAGATGTAGCGCACGTATGCGTCAGTACTTGAAAGGTACTGAGAATGTAGGATAGAATAATGCTGAAATAAAACATAACTGAACAAGCACAAAAGAAAGTATAATAATCTGAATATGACATATAGAATTCTTTGTTAGGTGAATGCAATGACTAATTTATAACATGCTGAAACCGAATACTGACTATAACTGATAAATGGTGAATGCAAGAGAATTTGACTAAACTATGGGAACTACAAATAACCAATAATAAAAAACATGAACTAAATGTTGTGTCTGATGTATACGCCCCACAGAGGGGACTTACAACCTACTTGGCTAGTAGTTCTAGGACTAATTGGGTACGCTGAACCCTAGTCTAACTCAGTATTGTGCTACTCCCATGGATTTATATCATTAACTGATAATGTCTAAATTTTCTGTAAATACAGGATAGCTCAAAACTGAAAATACAAACTGAGAATGCAACATTTAATCTGATAATGATGCAGTAAAAACTGAGGCATGTATAACTGAATAGCTAAAATATCCAACCTAGCATGTGTAATTCAAAAAATAAAAAAATGTAAAGCTAGGGTTAAAAAATTCATGCAATGATCTGAGTAATAACATGATAATCTTATTTGGAACCTATAACTAATATATTCATGAAGTTCTATCAAAGTTCTAGAAACCCTAGGTTTAATCATGATAAGAGACTCAAGAACTGACTTAAAACTAGGGACTCAATGGGTGAAAAAAACCCACTATTGAAATCCCACATACCTAGTGATGAAATTCATGGAGAAACACTTAGGTTTTGAGGGCTGGAACTGCTGAAATTTTGTTACATTCTTGAACTAGGGTTCTTGACTTTTTTCTCCTTTATTGCTTCTAATTTTCTATGTTTTAATTATTGATTTGACTTAGGGTAAGTTTTAGTGATGTTTCTAGGCTTAAATTAACTAAAATCTGATGATTTAGGGTCAAAACAATGTATCATATGGTTTAAACGAAGTAGGAAAAGACCCCTGGGTGAATTGCTGTTTGACCAAGCGACGAGCAGGACTGATGGTCCGTCGTTCCATCGATGGTCTGTCGTTCCATCGATGTTCTATCTTTCAGTCGTTCCATCGACGGTCCATCATTGGTCAGTAGGTTGGGCCTGTTCGACAGGCCTTAACTAAAACGGGCATAACGTTTTACTCGGAGGTCTTCTTTTTGCAAGGTTGGTGGCAATGGAAAGCTAATTCAATTATATATATGTGGGTAGGTCATGGAACACCTAATTCATTTTGTGTTAAGAGTTATAAACATTTGAAGTTGACTCAATTGCATTTTCCCGTTAACTGTCTGCTAATTCCCACCTACGGTCAGACGTATGGACCGTGCTAGTCATCCGTGGGTCTTGTAAGAGAGTGGGTGAATGATATATCGACCAATGGTCACGGACTACGGACCGTAGTCTGATCTATAGACTATAGGTCCGGCCGTCAATCATGACTTAACCAAATTTTCTTGGCCTGAGATTTTTGGGGTTTCTGACCCCATTGACGGACGTGCAGGGCGGACCGTAGGTCAGTCTACGGTCCATCGATGGCCCGTTGGTTGCACCTGTAGATTTTTCTAAAATCTGATTTTTGGTCTGTTTTGGATATGGGGTTTTACAAACGACTCATTTATCTATAGATTCTCCTATATAATGACAGTCTACTTTGATGTGTTTGATCTTCTCATGAAAATAGGATTAGTAACAATCTGAATAGAACTTATATTATCAGCATGGAGAGGAGTAGGATGAGATTGAGGAAATCCAATCTCAAGAAGTAATCCACGAAGCCATATAACCTTAGAGCAAGCAGTAGACATGGATCAACATTCAGTCTCAGTTGAAGATTTTGACACACGATCTTTCTTTTTACTTTTCCATGACCAGTGACAGAACGACGAGTATCAGGACATCCCGTAGAATCACTAAAAGCATTAAGACGAATAGGATAACCATTTGGAAAGAACAATCCATGAGTAGATGTTCCTAGAAGATAACAAATGATGCGACGAACAGCCACCAAGTGAAGATGATGGTGAGCTTGCATAAATTGACTAACTTGTTGCACTGCAAAAGAGATATCAATCTGAGTAATAGTAAGGTAATTTAGAATCCCAACTAATTGTCGCAACATAGTTGGATCAGGAAAAAGATCGTCTTCCTCATGACGATACTTCACATTCATTTCCAATGGAGTAGGCTATTGTGACAGTTTTTCTTTCGATTCAACATACAATTTCATTCTACTGTGACGGTTTTTACAGGGTAATGCAACAGTTTAAAAAATTATAAAATTATTGCTCAATTACTATATTTACGGTTTTAACAGCGTATTGCAACAATGCTGACATAATGCAACAATTATACTTAAGTTATTGCTACCTATATATTATTGGTCCAATTCCACAACATTTTGTACCATAAAAATACACATAGCCATTACTGCAGTAGCTCAATATACCATAAAAATACTGCAATAGCTCAATATACCATAAAAATACACATAAATCGCACATGAGAATAAATTTTCATTACCAAAATTGGAATTCAAGATTCGTGATTCTAATATCAATAAAAGAAAAATATACTAATCTTTTTACAGCATTCAAAAAAAAGTGAAACACATGCACCGCACTTTTCAATTTAAAAAATATAACATTTCTAGAACATCAATAAAGTTAACATCAATGATTCAGCTCCTATGTCAAGTCTTCACTACTGCTTTCATCGCCTTCATCGATTTCATTGCCTACATACAATTAAAAAATATATAAATAATTTAGCAATCTTTTTGCAAAATTAATTAAGTACAGTAACCTCCTTGGGAAGGCAGCCCAAAGAACTTATTAAGCTAGAAGGTTACACATTCAAACTAGAATTAGTATTGACTAAACATTATGTGATCAAGCTAGAAGTGATTAAGTCTTAAGATTTTGTTTGTTTCTTGACACTTTTGGCTAGAAAGTTTTAAAAAGAGTTTACAAATAAATAATTATTGTAAACTACAAACCTTGGTATAATTCCATAAATCCTTTTTAGTGTCCATGCTCCTCCAATCCAATATATCAAATGGGAAAAGAATAGCATTTCTAGCCAATGCTCCTAGAAGCTATTTAGCTTTATGATTACATCATCTGTAGGACCAACAGGTTGATTTTGACTATTCAATATGATCATCTTACGCTATTTTCGGGCATGAACATCATGCATTTGCGTTCTACCTCTTTTATTTGGACTGGAAACATCTTCAGCTATAAGAAAATACAAGAAATATAATTTAAAAATATGAATACATTTAATAGGTCGTAGACTTATATGTTACCTTATTCTTCAGGTTGATCATCTGCTTGAGGAGTGACAGAATTCATTCGCACTTGATCCTCGAAAGGAAAAGCTTTGACATGCTGCTCAAGAGACAGCTCCTCGACAGGCTGCACAAGATGCATCTTCTCAACAGGCTGCACAAGAGGCAGGTCCTCGACAGGCTGATTTTCAAAAGGCAACTCCTTAATAGGCTGCTCCTCAACAGATTGTCTTTTTGCTTTAGATTGTGGTGGATCTGATTGTTGTGCTCTAATTGATTTGAGCAGTGTCCTTTCTCGCACTCTATTTCTTCAATAATTTCATTTGTTGTCAATAACCGCCATTTCTTATTTGCCAAGAATGATAACGATCCCGATTTAGCAAATGTCTTCTTTTTGGCTTTTTTGTTCTGTTGACTCATAGCTACGACTATTCGAACCTATGTGATAATAGAATGTATGGTAGTGTACATTTGCTATACTTAAACAAATCAATTACCAAGGTCTTACAAAGAGTAAAAACAAAATGTACCCTTAAGGGACATTCTAATAATATTTTCTGTACTCAATCACATTCAGTAGGTCTGTTACTATACACAATCACACACAAGATTTAGAGTGTTTTTAGGAAGCCAATTGGTGGAATTATAAGATAAAGGTACTTGATTGATTAGTTCAGGTTCACTTTTGGAGCATGACTTAATTTATTTCACTCTTTTGAGGTTTTTGAAGTTATTTCTAAACTCCAGCTTGCTGCGACTTATGTTGGGTCTAGAGATACAATATAGCTTCATAGAATGTACATTAAGTACTCAAAGAGAGAGATAGCACACTTGTAGAAAAAAATGAATTCATGTTCCACACATTTCGATTAATTGGAATGTCAAAGTTAAAAACTGACACACAAATTCCTAAGACTAACACACTTGTAGAAAAAATGATATAGCCAGTTTAAAATATAGACATCGCATCCAAACAACAAAACGAACATGTAAAGTGAGTAGTAAATTACACAAAGCAAATAATTCTGTGCTTCATGAATGATTAAAAAAGGTATCCCAAAATGCACAAATCCACGCAGTGACATTAACTTTAACAAATAAATAGGGCATCATGTGTAAAAGTTTATGCTGGCAGTGACTCAAAAGGGAAGATAACATTCAATCCAACAAGCAAAACGCATAGACCATATCAAAATCGAATTTATTTCAAAGTAAAGACGACAGTGATGCTCAAGTCTAAACATCCCTTAATACTCAAAATCAAAATTAAAGATAACTTGGCCTTAATCACAAACAAGTTGAGATTGGCAATATGAATACAAATACAGAGGAGAGAACACAGGGTCACACAACTAAAATATTTACATCAAGGTTTGTATCCAGTCAAAGGACAAGCGAGTTGTTCAAAAATTAACTAGCTTAAGTTATATCAGTCAATAAAAAGTGAAACAAATACCAGTAGGAAGTAATTTGGGAGCAATTTTTGTCCAGATTCACATCAAATGGGGAATATTAAGGAAGAATTCAGCTGGAAGAAAAAAAAGTCAGAGAGAAATACTTACAGATTGACAAACTTAGAGCACTAGATTTTGACTCTCTTATGAGATTTCCCACCGGAAGGTACACCTACAAAGAAGAAGACATTTTCATATGCACGGAAGAAAGAAAAACAAGAAATGGATGGAAATTTACAGTTGTTTATTTGTTTTTTTATGTTTTTTTCTCTGTCTCATTTTGAGTCCAATTGACTTTCTTTTTCAATAATATGGGACCAATGGTCCAAGCTTAATTAAAAAAATGAACTAGCAGAGATAACATAAACATTATTCACCTTTATATGGAAGCATTCAATTGTTCTCCAGAAATAAAAAATCACAAACCAAACTACTGGAAGATGAAGCCAAGTAAATTTCCGGTATGTTAAAGGAAGCAAACACACAAGTTGAACTATAGGAACAGTAAAGCAACCAGAAAACTAGAAACCATGCTAACCAAACTTAAATAAAATTGATAGGTAACTCCTAAAACATAATTTACTATACAATTCGATGGAACCAGTGATTAAAGTCATATCACTCATGAACAAAACAAAAACAAACAGAAAAACATAGCTTATACCTCCAAAAAATCAGACGCACTCAATTTGAAATCAAATAGTCCATCACTAGGCATCAACATCAACACTAAATCAAATTCATTCCAATAAAGACAAGACAACTCTTAAACAATTTAGAGGGAATATTCAATAGCAATCTAGATTATCTTAAAGTCATTAGGCATAGTGACTCAGCTTGCATAGAGCACAGACAACAAGAAAGCATTAATGTTTTGAATCTAGAGCATTACCCAATCCCAAATACTCTTCAAGTTTAACTCTAAATTCACTTCATGTTTAACCCTAAATACTCAATTGTAACTTCAAATTTTGGAATGTTTTCTTTTCCAATTTCACTATATATCACAGAATAAAACAGGGGAAGTTTATACACTAACTATATTGGAGCAAATAACATAGATTTAAGACTAACCCATATATTATTCTTTAAGATTTTTCAAAATTAATTCAATTGGGACTTAGAAATCATGAACTAGCATAGAAAAATTAAACATTATTAACCTTTAAGACAAATTTGTAGTCGAACCTCAAAAACATCACCAAAAAGAACAAGCTAGTTGTTTTCCTCGACGAGCTTCAGCAAACGCTTCACCAACGAGCTTCACTAACAGCTTCACCTACGAGCTTCACCAACATCTTCACCAATAGGTTCACCAACGAGCTTCACCAACAGCTTCACCAACAAGCTTCACCAACAGATTTCATTTTTCTCAACAAAATCATCAAAAATTCCCTTCACAACTTCACCCAAAAAAGTCTCTCTCACATCGCTATGATGAAATTTTTTGGAAAATAGGGGTTTTAGCATCTAAAATACATTTCATTCTTTTTCTTTTACATTTTTCAATGAGGTACTAATATATCAGAATTATATTTTTAGGAGGGACTCATGTCTCTTTGCCAAATTATATTGGAGGAAATATATTTTTTTAGGAGGGAAAAATATTTAAGGCTAGAAAATCATAATTATTTTTCTAAAAAAACTGTTGCCATAGAGTTATCCATCGCGACAGTTCTAAAACTTGTTGCTATAGATTATCTGTAGGGACGGTTATAGGGATGATGCAATAGTTTACTTTAAGAACTTTTTTATTAGATTCAAGGATATTTGTCCACGGTTATAACCATTGTAATAGGTGAGCTATTGCTTCAATAGTATAACTGTTGCTGAATAAGTGTGGCAGTAAGTCAAATTTCTAGTAGTGCCAATCACATCCTTGTCTAAGTCTGGCCTCCCTGCACAACTCTTAAACACCAACCTTAGTTTGGCGATGTGTGCATGTGGATCCTCATATGGTAGCCCCGAAAACAAACCTCTAGCGGTGAACATCTGCATCAAGCTACAAGTTACCTTATATGTATGACTATGTGGTAGAGGAGGTAGGACAAGTGGACCATCAGAGTCAGTGATGTTAACATTTCCCCTATAATACTCTTGAGGGCGTGGGGCGGGAGGTTGCCTCCTCGAAATACCTTTACCAGGGTTATCAATAACCACTTGATTATGAGCATCAATCGGCGGGGGAAATTGAGGGTTGATCTCATCATCAATATAAGAAGGATTGTTTTGAATATTCATTCTGCGAAGTGTGCGGTTTAGTTCTAGATCAAGTGGAATTATTGGTTCTTCTTGACTCCATATACTTGGCATACACTAAAGCTAGACCTGCGAGAGACAAAACAAATAGAAAAAGAAAATGTAAAATTAGGAAATTGTTGACTAAAATTTGGTAATGTGATTAAAATTAATCTAAAAGTCACTTTC